AGGTAGCAAAGGAACAGATTCTTAAATCAGGAGAGGACATCCTTAAGGAAAGTGACAATGTAAGATCATTCCCAACTTTAAAGGGTCACATTCTGTGTCAGAAGCAGAGAGTATCTCTTGGGGAATCCCTCTCCTGAGCTAAAAATAGTATCTGTGCCAGAGAGTGTGTGGGGAATGCCCTTGACCATGGCTAAGATTCTTTTACCACAGGTAACTTCTTTCCCTGGTTATATGAATAGTGAAATTCCTGTGGAGCAAGCGTTTCTTGAATGGTGCAGAGAGGTGGGGGAGATGGCTGCTGCATAAAGCCCTCGTGGGAATATTTGTCTGCACAGCATCATTTGGGAAGAACTAAGTATGACCAGGGAACAGAAAAAGTGACAAAAATTATTTAAGGGGTTGCAGTCCCAAAGAAGCTCAGACTTAAGATACAGACCGATTCATAGCTCCCTAAAATTTTCTGTAAAGGAGTGGCAGGCTTCTGACAATAGTCGGTGGACTCTTAATCTTGCAGAAGGTATGACAAGATCCAGGGTCTAAGCAGTACAGCAAGACACTTAAACCAGAACAGAGGCATCACCACTTAGAGTTAGGATAAATAGTTGTCAGGCCAGTTTGTGCCGATTGTGCGCCACTAACTCGGGTTTAGAGGACTTTCTAGATGAGCCTCAATGGCTCAAACAGAGGAAGGGCTTGATTAAAGGATTGCTGTGTGACACTGCGGCTTCTCTCTGGGTCAGACCAGATGACCTACTGGCTTGGAACAATTTATTTAGCTGGTTTTACAGTGTTTACAAGGAGTACCTGAGTGCAGCCAGGGTTTGGAGCCTTGCCTCATGCTGTGAGTGCAGGCAGCAGCTCTGCTGCCTGCCCTCACCCTCAGCAGTGCCATTCAAAAACTGGATGTGTTTTTTCTTCTGTCATAGAAGTATTGCTTTGAATGCAGAAGGAATGTTTTTCTTCCCTTCTCCCCTCTGCCCTCCATTATGGAAGGACCCAGGAAATGTTTGCTCTGCGATGAGATAGGAATCAGTTACCAAACTCTTCATCTGAACAGCAGTGAAAGGCTAGTCTGAGCGTTGCTGTTCCTGCGCTCAGCCCAGTGCTTGTCCAAGGCGCTCTCAAGCCTCTTACAGCAAACTTCTTTCTATAACTCTGTAGAGACCAGTTTCAGCCATCACAGAATTAGTGCTTTGCCCCTGTTCTCTCCCTTGTGCGTGTGCATGCAGTTTCTGTCCTGTTTGTGGTTTACCTTTTGGAAACAACCCCTTGATCCTCCTTTGTCAAATGACTGTAAAGGGATGCTGCTGCTTGTTGAGAAGCTTTGGACTGCTTGGGAATCTGATTCTGGCTTTGTCAGTGAGATACTGAAGAAGCTCAAACAGTGGCTTCTTTTTCCCTCAGGAAATTAAGAGGCAGAGTCATCTGCCAGTGACTACGCTTTTAATGTTTTCATATTGTAATGAACTTGATGAGAGCAGGTGTTTATTCATGTGGCCAGTGGCTAGTATGTTAGCTGCTATTTGATTTCACATATTGTAATGGTGGGGGGTGGGATAGAGGACTGCTGCTACACTCTTAATTTGGGCAATGGTGGCACAGCAGTTTTTGTTGGGTTTGTCCCTCATGCTTTTCACCCTTCAATTGAGTCACAGTTGTGGATGGCATATCTCTTACCCCTGTAAAATAGAAGCAGTGCCCTCCTGCATGATCAGGGATTTGGGTACTTGCAGGGCTTTAAACTGCAGTTTGATTTTTTGAAAGTGTAGATGTTAACGGTGAGTCTGTTGGAAGACCTCAAACGATTTGCAGGTTTTATTTCTCTGATTCCCTATTATGTAACTGAAAATGTTCAGCTGTTGGACAGGTGTATGTTAATTTGAGATGTCAAACTCTATCAGTCATGTGCTTTTCCAGCAGTAATGAGCGTTCTGTAGCTGCAGCTTGGTTAGCAATCAAGTTTATTTTGTATATAAAATTGATAATCTAGTTTGTCTAGCACAATGCTTAGCTTTAGAAGACTGAGAGCCAAAAAAAGTCAAACACACTTTTTCTAACATGTATTTTTGGTAGAGCCTAAATTAACTCAAAACCTGAAGATTAGATCTGTGCGGTAAACAGGTGTCACTTTTACACGGTTACTCATCTGATTATAGCAGTATTTAAAAATCTTGCTACTATGGGAGTAGGATTAGAATGAGGTTGAATTTCAGGTAGAAGTTTTAAATGGGATTTAGAAACAAAACCTCAAACCTATGATCATTGGAAACTCATTGGAAAAATTTAAAGGAAAACCCTGAATTTTCAAGATTCCTTGATTAAGATGCTCTGAAATAGTTGACACTTTATAGAGTTTGCGTTTACATACAGTATTTAGAAATGGTACTGAATCAGCTATTGCCTTTAAATTTTTTCAATGCCATACCAGTGCTATGTAACTGATGAAAAGTATACCATTCCCCCCCCCAGCCTTTAAGCAGCAAACTCTAGGCCATATGCCACTGTTGTTATGACACCTAAATATGCTGAGACCTGGTCAGGTATCATGGTGAAATGTAGCACCTCTCAACATGAAGACATTCAAGAAAGCCAACTGTGGTGATTTTTGAGGTTTCTGAAGTGTCCATTCTTCATTAGTAGTTGTCTGGCCTTTAGAATAAGGGCTGAGATATAATTGCTGCTATTATCTGTAACAGGGAAGTCCTTTGGTGCTGCAGTAGAACATGTGGTTGTTGTGAAAGTGCTGTCAATCTGAGGGGTTGGTTTTTTTTTTAGTGGTGGCAGAGGGAAGAGAGGGTCATGGGATACCAGTCCAAGGAAGACCAGCATTCCTTAGCTTAGTTATTTATGAAATTGCTTTGCTTTTATGGATGTAATGTGCTTGTCTTGCATAAATGAGTGTATGTAACTGGTAGCTCTCCATTGAGATGAGTTGTATAACATGCTCTTAGTTAATGCATCTACCCTAAATTTATGTCAATACATTTTTTGGACTCCTCTGCCATGTACTTTGTTATTTTCTGGCTTGGCTGAAGGACTACAAAGTCACTAACACTTGAATTTTTTAAATGCTGGGTACACTGGATTTTTTCTTTGTAACATGGAATGGTCTTGCCCTACGAATTCAAGACCCTATCCTGGAATTTGGCTTCATCTCTGGGTAAGATTTTTACAATTAATGCTCAGATCTAAAGACAGTTTCTTGTGCTGTTGGGGATGCAATAATGTGTGTGTGATCAGCAAAGATAAACATTAAACACAGAAACCCAAGCAGTTCCATCACACTTGTTTTGAACGTACAATTCATTAGATTGAGCAGTAAGAAATATTTTGCAACTTGATTATTGCTAATTGTATTCATAGTGCTTTTGAGTAATTTGCAATCAATTTTGTGATATATTGAGAGAATAAAAATGAAAGTGTGCAGATAGCAGTGACAGTGACTTTAGTAACGTGGGTACATGAGATTATTGTTGATTTTGGCTGCTAAAAGTGAATTTGCTTAAGGCAAAATGATTGATTTGCACTTTAGTAAAACCCAAGATAAACACGTGGTACGGTGTTATAATGGCTCTTAGATCATGTTTTATGTGATACTCACAGCCTTTTAAAAAGACTGTCATTAAGTCTGTGAACAAACTCAGCTACCTTAGGGAATCGAAGCCAGCTGTCAGCAAGGGGGAATGACTGGTTTAGCTCTGAAGGATCCCTAATGAAGGAAACAGCACAAACACCCCATCACTCTTCTGTGTGGAGAGGACTGGAATGGGAAATCAGCTTCAATGAACTTTTTTGGAAAAACAGAGAATGGACAGAATTCAATTCACAAGTAAAATAAAAAGGCAGTTTCTGCAGTGATCTCATTTCGTGGCTTTTTTTTCAGAAATGTGTCGAAGGGGAGTCATCTCTAGCTTATAGTAATGTAGTCATTTCTATACCATTTCAAGATGCTGGAAGTACTAATGTGCACACTGAGCCACAACTGAAAGTGTGTTTGCTAGAAAGGATTTTGGAACCTGTTAGTATTTACACAGATGCCTGTATGATGATCATTTACTTTTGTCTCAAGGGAAGTCAAAGGCATCCTGAATTTCATCCAAATGCTGACCACGCTGAAAACTGAGGCAAAAGCTGTAATTAGATTTGTTAAGCTGGATGAAACGATAGTGCCACTGAACAAATATCTGCATAGATGTTACTAAGACCAGTCTGCTCGATGGGGATTTATCTGCTCTCACTTTAGAGGTCCATATCTGAACTAGTCATTCTGGTGTCCTTCCTTGGTGAAGGAAGGAACTGGGCAACTCTAGATGTTCAGTTCAGAAGCAGAGCTTTAAAGTTAAGCAAGATGAATCTTATGCTGTGTATCTTTTGGCTTATTAGAGCCTTCATCAAATGTTCTTAAGTTCTTGTCAATACATGAAGAGCAAGCATGATGGATCTTGCTTCTACTGCCTAGGCTGATATAATAACAGGAGAGACCTTAAATCTATCTGGAGAAAGTTTGTTGACATAACTAGTCTGTGTTGCATTTTCCCAGCCATGTTTACTGAACAAAATGCTCTTGAAACACCCACAGATGCTGTTCTCAAGCAGTGGCTGTGGAATTGGGGCAGGGTGGCCTTTCCACATCCCAGCTGGGATGCAGTGGGACAACTATTTAATGGTAAATGGGATTTAGCAGAGGGTGGAATGAGCTGAGACACAACTGCTGCATTCCCAAACAGAAGTGTTCTCAGCTGACTACTTGTAACTTCTTTTGCATCCTAAATTGCAGCTAAAGGAGTTGGAGTCGGAGAAACAACCTTTCTTTGGGGAGGGAGGTGAGGGGAGAAAGAAAAGATAACAATATCAAAGATAGTCTTCTGTGTGACTTCCTTACTCTAAAGCATGTGTTTGTGATTTGTCTGGGTTGGGACTTCCACTAAGATGCTGGATTATAATAGAAGTGGTGGGTGATAGTGAGAAATGAAATGCCTGCTCTTTGTTTTATTAAACAGGTGCAGTGCCATACCTACACTGGATACTGCTGGTGTGTGACACCTGATGGCAAGCCTATTAGCGGCTCTTCTGTACAGAACAAAACTCCTGTATGTTCAGGTACTGTGAGAGTCGCTTCAACAAATACTAATTTGATAACTGAAGGGGGTTGGGGAGAATGCGTCCTGTTGAGAGTGCTTAATCTTTTCAGGTGACTCGGCCAGTTTACCCGATTTAACACTGCAGTTGTGCTTCTATCTCCCTGTGTGCTTGCTGGTATTTGAAGCTGCAAGGGAGCTTGGACTGTGGCATGTCCACCCTGCAGTTAGAGTACAGACACTCCTGCAAGGCTCACTGAGAAGAACCACTAAGGTAACAGCCTGTGGTAGCCAAGGCAAGAGTCGCAGTGTTGCTGTGTACACCAAAACTAGAGATTCCTGTAACAGATGGGATAATATTTTTCCATGAGCTGTATTTAGTGGGCCATGGAGTCACTTTGCCATCAGAGTGACTTCAGTTAAAAGTTTGGTAAGGTGGTTCTGTGTGACAAGCTGGTAGTTGTTGACTACTAGCCCCCAAATCTGGGGTCCTGCTGTTATAATGGATATGGGTCTTCTGATCATATTGCTCAGTTCCAGCATCCCCATGTTTGTGTCGTGGTGCTGGACAGCACTGGCCTTGCCCCACAGCTCACAAGAGGGAGGTCCAGAGCCAGGCTGTTACTCATGGGTTTATTAAGTGACGTGCTTCTGGGCACTCAACCTGACACTGCTCTGTCGCCCTATGGTTTACTGGGCCCAAATCCATCACTTTCTGTACTACAAACAGAGTGATGCTGTTTGTTTTTCATCCCCACCATTCAATGTGGCAGCCCATGGCTCAAATGGGATGAGGTTGGGCTCTACATTTTCATATGGCCCTGATCAGTAGTGTACAGTCTAGCTTTGTGAGCTGTGGTGAACAGAGCTGCTGTGGCAGCAGCATGCTAGGCACAGGGAGGGGTGGGAAGCTGTTCCATGCTATTTGGGAGAATTCAGGGGCAACACTAGAATTGTGCTGCTCCCCTCATCCCCCCCACGCCCCCCCAAAAAAAAAGAAGAAAAGACAACAAGCATAGGTGTGTGTTTCTAATGTGTTCAGTGATGCCATGTAGGCACTGCTGCTGCCTCTGGCTTCGTGCTCTGCGATCTGCACCCCATGGGTGTTCAGTGTATTTTGCCTCTCACACCTTGCAGCCCTTTAGATGGGAGCATGACAGCAGTTAAACCTTTTGGGTTTTTTTCTTTTTAAATCCTTCTCACCTTGTTCAGTGTCCTCTTGGCTGTAGGGCATTTTGTGGTAATAAGCATACATAGTGACTTGCATGAGGGTTTGAGTTGAGTGGGAGAACTGTCTGGGAACTAGTAGCTTGAACTGGGATGAGTGGGAGAACTGTCTGGGAACCAATGTAGCTTGAGGGAATGCTTGGTGTTTCACAGGTACATGGAAAGAAAATAAGATTAATATTCTGTTTTAGTGTAAGGTGAAATGCTACAGTAATTTGCCTTAAGCTTTAGAATATGACTTTCTTCCACCATTCCCAGCATATGGTTTTGGTAGGTAGGGCATGTTTTAGAGTTTTGATGATCTGTTCATTTAGTCTTAAGCTGTTTATAAAATTATGTTACCAGGAAGGTAAAGTCATGGTGTATTGTAGGACACACAGATGTTAGGCCTATGAAGACTAATATTGGGTATGTGCTTCCTACTTGTAATTCAGCAGTAGATCTGAGATGAACTGTTCTGCAAGTGAAAGTGCCTGGGCAATAGAGTTTACATTTAGAGTTTATCTTGACCAGACTCTTGGGCCTGTCAGAGCTGCCTCCTTTGGAGCTGACTTTTAATCCATGTTTCCTGAAGGATCAGTAAATCACTGGAACTGTTTAGTAATGGTGCATGGAAGAATCAGTTTCCTGGGAATAAAGCTATTCCAAAAAAAAAAAAAAAAAAAAAAAAAAGAGAAAGGAAAAAAAAAGAAAAAAATTGTGTTATAGATTTTTATACACTTTGGTAATGGATTTGTTTAAAAAGCTTTTATTATCAGTTCAAGTTTTAGTGGAAAACTGTGTGATGAAACACTAAAGCAAACTGCAGAAACAAGTGTAGAATCATATATATTATCTGGAGATCTAAGTTTTATTAAAAAACCCAAGATGTGTTCTATTCAAGTGCGTGCTGGATCTTATTCAGTGTCCCTTTTCAAACAGCTGGGGATGTTCAGGGGTTGGTTGAAATCCATTTTCTGCAAATTGTCCCACTTAATCCCTTTCCTTTAGAATACTGCCCCTTGCATTCCCTGCACACTCTCCCCACCTGTTTTTGATTTGTTCTTCCTGACATTTGCAAATGAAAGAAGTGACTCTTATTGATCTTTCCTTCTTGCCCTTGGATTTATTCCAGGTTTCTTACTAGCACACTGCTCTGTTGAGCTCTTTCAAATTACTGGATCCAGCTACTAAATATTTCTTGTTTACCCTCATCCTTATTTAACATCTTAAGACAAAACTTTCTTATGCTATCTCAGTTGGTTGAAGCCACAGGCTCTCTGAATCCTAAACTGAGCTGTTGGCAAGTAAAACAGACGCTTTGTGGGTTGAGATATTGACTGTATTAACGTGACATTACATGTTCTGTGTGATCATGCAGCATCTAAATAGATGTCTTTTTTCTTTTTTCTTTTTTTTTTTTTCTCGCCCTCCCCTTTAGGTTCCGTAACTGATAAACCATCAAGCCAGGGTAATTCAGGAAGGAAAGGTGAGTGGAGTCCTGTGCTTCAGCAACTTGTTTTGTAATAGCAGCTGCCCAGCCAAGTCCCTTGAGATAACTCAGAACCTGGGTTCCTAACCAGCTCAGCGTGCAGGAGATTTACGTGCCTTTAGACCTCCCCCTTCAGTAGGAGGAATAAGATGACGGTCTGTTGGTGCACCACCCTGTGAAGTAGAAAATGGTGTACTCTGCTCTGTGCTTGTCAGCTGAGGTGTAGTACATGAAAACAGAGCTTCCCAAAGGGGTGGCTGGCACAGAATAACCTTTGCTTGTTCACCTTGAAGTAAACTACTGAGCATTTCCCAGTAAAATCACTAGAGGTTTGGAAGGCTATCAGTATGACTAGTACACTGGGAGTCAGGAGTGCCAATGTCATGGTTGTGGCTTTATATGCATTGAAAGGTGGGGGGTTTTTAACAGAGCATAAAACCCTCTGGCCATCTGGAGCAGCACTGTATTAAACCCTAGTTGTGCTTGGAAACCTCACTCTGCATTAGGCATTGGTCCTCCTTCTTTACAGTCCTTTCTTCAGTCCTTGCCTTTTCTGAGCGGGGCACTAGAGATGTGTCTTTCTTCTCCTGTGTGTATTCATAGCCCTTCTCTGTGTCCTCTGATTTGCATTCATTGAAATAGTCTTGGGAGGGGTTACCACTGAAGTATATGTTGAGGAGCAGTCAAGGTTGTAGGCCTTCTCCACACCCTGCTTTTCAATCCCTGTCCCCTGCTAGCCCCCATTCAGAGTCAACTTTTGAGTTTGTCTCCTTACTACAGGAAAACAGTGCTGAATGCATCCTCACTCCTGCTGGTGAGGATGAAGGGTGTTTACTGGGAGAAGTTCCTGTTTTGATATCTGAAGCAGGATTTTTACTGCTAACTCTCTAAACCAATTATTCCTGACACTTCAAAACGCAGGATAATGCCTACCTTGATGCCAACACTTTAATTTGAAGAACATCTTCCATGCTGGGACTGTCAATCATGAAAACACTTAACAGGAATTACAGATTGCTGTGTTCAGAGCAGTGATGCATTTTGAGCATCTATTGATTGTGTATAGTAGCTTAGGAAAAGGTAGGGAGAAGAAAGATGCAAGGAGAACTACTTTGTTAAGAATGAATGCTGAAGCCTGCTTCTTATTTTAGGTAAGGATATGTTTCTGTAAACCTGTAATTATGTGTTAATGTATAATTGGCACCTGAACGCATTGTTATCATTCCGTTAATGCAATCATTGCTAGTCTAGCCTGAAGTACAAGCAAATCAAGTAGCTTTTGAAATCTGCATTATTTTTTGAGTGGGGGTTGTTTGTAGGCTTCCTACCTGAGTAGTTCTGGTCTGTTCTTCTAGAATTGGAAGCAGCTGACATTGGATTTCATAAGAAACAGAAGCAAAAGGGGAAGACATCTGAACTTGTTCCCACTTCACTTCCTTTATTAACTCAGAGGTTGGAACACACACAAAAAAAAAAGAACTGTAAATGGAATGAATTAATCTAAAATTTGTAATATAAATTGATTCTCCTTGGTGCTGCCTGTGACATCCTGTTTCAAGAATGGTACGCTTGGTCACGTGGCTGGAGAAACATCCTGTGCAGTAGCTGTCAAGAAAAGGAAAATGTTTCCCTTTGGGCCAGCATGCTTCAAGCAATCATGTAAATTTTGTGTCCCTTCCAATTCTGAATCTGTTCATTTCTGTTGGAAGCCCTTGCAAAAGCCACTGTGGCCTTTCTCCATCACGTTAGAAAAATACTTGTGAGCAATTATTAAATAGGTCTTTTAAAATCAAGAAGGCTTTTAGAAACTGGAATAATTTGGTTTAAAATTTGATGGACTTAGCATTATTTTTTTGGTTAGTGATGAATGCCTAATCTAAAAATGAATTTGGCTTTCTTAGCAGTGTTTTTTCTTGACTTAAGTTACTTTGGTTCAAAATTCCAGTATCCAGTCCTGTTATAAGGAAGTTGGAACCAAAAACAGCCTGGCTTCTTTGAAGCAAGGTGGTCGCTGGAGGTCTGGCTTCTCTGAAGACTGGTGGCTAGCCAGCTTGCATATAACTATCCATTCTAGCTGAGTGTTCAGACTCTTTCTGCAAAGATTGCCCTTTGCAAGAAGACAAAAAGGGCAGGATGAGGAGGGGGCCAGCAGGAACTGGGTCAGTGATGACCTTTCTGTTGTAAAGGTACATCTTGGAAACTTCTGACATCACTTTGGGCAACTGCCATCTGACTCGGGAGTTTTTGGGCTTTTCCCACTGCACAGCAGACTCCTGTCTCCATCTGTGGATGAGGGTCTCTGAGTCAAAGAGCATTATCTGGCACAGAATAGGTGCTCTCAGAAGGAAAATGAATAGCTAAGACTCTCAAAAGTGATTTCTTTTGTCCCATTCATACAGGAATGTAAAATATGGAGCTAATAAACTTTGTGTGATGCTGGTGCCTTTCAAGTCTTCAGGGCAAAATAGTTTTTTGGATGGAGGCTGCTCTGCCTTAGAAACAGTGCAGATGGGTAGGCTTAAGCTGTTGGGTAATAAATGAAGACTTTACTAGCATATTAGCTCTCCTTTAAAAGAGACAGATTAATGTTGGAAGAAGAAGAAGACTGGTTATTGGTAATAATTCTCTTTCTCCAAATGTTTTGGCCTCTTTTCCATCCTGTTTAGCTCTAATTTCTGGGGGTAAATAGGTATGATGGAGTCACCAGAAGACGTGAGGTAACATGCGATTCCACTCACAGGCTCTCTCACTACTGATGAAAAGAAAATGAAATGGCTTTATGGTCACGTGGCTTGGCATGTAGTTCCAGAAGTGGCTCTGTGGAGCTTTCTGCGGAGAACAGGCAAGAGTGCTGGCAAAAAATCCTTTTTATTTTTAAATCCCGTGCTCTGGTTGCCCATATTTACATTGCTGCTATTGCTGTATGATGCAATGCCAGTTAGTCATACAATTTGCCCTGTAAGGTAATTTAAATCAAATTAAATTGGCACCAAATGTAAAACTTTAAAATAGGATGTATTGATTTGTTTTGTGTCTGAGAGAAGTGTTCTGTTGCTGGAAGGCAGAGCAGACCTGGGCCTGGGGAGATGGAGACATGTTCGTATGAGGTGGAACGGAAACCCAGGTTCTCCAGGACACGCTCAGTGTGTGGACTTGGCAGCTCAGACACTTACCGCTGTTCTTTCTATGCTGAATTCAGGCTGCAAGTGAAGAGCAAGTTTCCAGGACCTTTGTCAGGGAATGCAGTTATTCTTGGGTGGGCTTAGGATATCCAGAACCTGCAGACTTCTGTTGCTGTCTGTTCCTTATTCTGGCTTGTTCATTGTACAATCCTTTTTCATAAGGAGCTTCTTGCACTAATTTACTCCAGTTGCTGCTTAGTTTGAAAGGCCTGAGAGACTTGGAAGATGCACGCTGTCCCCTAGAGGGCTGGATCTCCCCCCTTTCTCCCACTGGGAGGTTGTTAATGTTTTAAGAAGCAGTGAAAGGCATCCTTGGAGCCAACATGACTGGATTTCTTCCCTGCCTAAAGAATGCAGAACGTTCCTTTCCAGCCAAAGGGAAATTGTGCCACACGTTGAAACAAAACAAGCAAACACCAAACAAAACAAAACTTTATCTTCTTTATCTGAGGAATGCTGGCGCTTTAGGAGCTCAGAGCTACAGATTTGGCATATTGCAGCCATGAGTAGTGTCTTTTGCAATCACCAAGCAGGTTTTAAAAAGTAGGCTGGTCAGGAGACAGGGATGTAAAAAGCAGCCATGTCATTGTTTATCTCCATAAAGTCACTTGGTCTTCCTTCTTAAAACTGGAAACTGAGTGAATTAAAAGTGGAGAGTCTGGGAATGAGTGAAGAGGAAAAAAAAAAAAAAAATCTAAGTGGGGATACTGGTTTGTTAGTGGTTGTTAACTCTTCTGGACACTGTGTGAGAGGTGTTCATACCATTTTTAAATCAACTGGATGAAGGAAATGGGAAACGAGGCTTGGTTTTATAACCTGGGATTAAAAGATGATGCAAGTATAGGGTAAATACGGGCTGGATAAACTGTCAGTGTCAGTCATGAAGAGTCTTGAGTGGTATGAACTTCCTTTTTCTTTCATAAAGTGTCTTGCAGTGCATAAAATTCGAGGCCTGTTTTGACTTGCTTTGTTTGCCTATTGCAAACGGTGGCAATAGCGTCAGCAATACCCTGAACCTGGTGCAGGTACAGTGGTGTTGGTGAAACAAGCTCTGATGGCCCTACAGAAGGCAAAGCCTGGCTCGAGCTCATTTTACACTTGCTATCTTGCATGTAGACATGTCTCTTGTATGGAGTTGTGAAAAGCTTTGCCCAATGAGTTTGCAGGCTCCAAGAAAACACTGAAGCAATTTGAGAAGCCTAAGATGAACAACTTAAAATTCCTGTCAATTAAACATCTAGAATTGGGTTCCTTTTTGTGGATTTAACTGTGAGAAATGGGCTTAAAGGCAGGCTTTGTTGCAGGGAAATTCTCCACTGCAGTTGTGGGCAAGTTGGCCCATTCTGTGGCTCTTTTCCTGCTGGATTCCAAGAGTCTTACCTCTAGAAAATGTTAATGGCCTAGTTGTGCAGCCAGTAGACTGAGCAATTTGAATCAGTAATGAGCCATTAGTCTGAGTCAGTAATTAGACTGAGCAGTAAAGGGTGAACGCTCTCCTCAGGCAAACCCAAGTGGAGGACGGCTTGTGCTGATGTAAATAAATGGAACCGTTTGTACATGGAGACCTGGAAGCTTTGTCTGCTGGTGGTAAGAAGTCAGGTGCAGCTGGCACTAATTCACCTGCTGTCTGCTTGCAGGGCAGGGAGCATGCTGCCTCCACAGTGGTTAGTACGTCTCAAAGGACAGATAATACCTTGACAAAAACGTGAAGTTGAGATGTGACCAAAACCTGAGACTGGGACTTTGGTCTTCACCTTCTCCAGTTCTCTCTGGATTCAACCGGGTACTATCAGATCTGAAACAGAGCTGTGCTAT